CTGGGAGTGGCTGTTAATATTCAGGAACTCTGCACGCCGGAGGTGAGGACTCGGGGAGTTTGACATAGGCCATGGCGGGAATATTTAACCACACACATTGGCAAACACCAGGAGTCAAGACATTTTTGCTGCTGTTCTCAGAACCAGTTTACCAGCAGCCAGCCAGAGCGTCAAAGAACAGACGGCAGACAGAGCAGGGCGGCTTCTCGTACAAGTGCTGTATTATTATTATTGTTACTGTGATTTGTAGTCAATGTGCAGACCACAGAACGTGTCCGTCACCTTGCGTCCCTCATGCCCATCGGCCGTTGTTTCCTGCCCACACACCCAGCTCCCAGCTGCCATTAATTCACTTTTCTCTGTACTGGAGGGTTTGCAGCAGAAATGGGGCCGTGGTGTGACTTGCAGTATTGTCACTGTTGAATCCCTCCTGTTAAACTATAACAGAGTTGCTGGCCTTTTTTCGGATTAGGTCGTGACCGGAGTTTTCTGGGAAACCATCCACCGTGTCCAGGGCGCCCTCCGGAAAGTAGAGCCGGACTTTAACCTCCCAGCCACTGAGCTGTGAGAAGTGCTCGGCGGGGCCGCGCGCACTGGCTCCAAGTGTGCTGGCCAGCTGAAGCCACCGTGGACCCTGCCAGCTTCGGGCTCTGCCCTCTTTTGGCTGTGTCTGGGGGCAAAGTTCCCTGTGAGAAGCTCACTCAGCAGGTTGGCTACACCAGTGTGCCGGGAGCTCGAATGTCCGCAGGCACCGGGGCAGCATTCAGCTGAAGCAAACCCACAAGTCCTTCCCATTTCCTGGGTTCCGAGAACAAGGTACTGTGGGGACGCAGCCTTGCCGGACAAGGTCAGCTGCCCCCGAGCCATCTGCTGATTAAGCCAAGAAGAGGGCCAGGCGAGACGTGGCCCTGGGACCTTGGAAAGGGGGCCTGGGGGATTCTAATTATCAGCTGTCCAGGGGCCCAAGGAATGCAGGGGTGGGAGGCAGGGGCGGCGAGGGGCAGGGGGAGGTGGCCAGGGAGGGGGGTGTGAGGCCGCAGAAGCAGGGCTGGTGGCCACAGCCATGCTGGGGCCTAGGCCTCTGTGGAGGGGAGCCCTGGAGGTCACTTGTCCCTCCACGCCTCACTTTCTATTTCTGTAAAATGGAGAAGATGACACTCACATCACAGAGTTGTTACAAGGACTTAAGGAAATAGCATTCACAAAGCCCTTTCCAGGTGCTGGGGACATGGTAAGCCTTTAGTCGGTGACAATTACTGTTTTTCTTATTGTGACACGTTATTGTCGGTTATTGTTTTAGGCCGTCTGGGCTGCTGCGCCCCAAAGACCACAGGCTGGGCGGTTTAAACAACATTGATTTCTCACAGTTCTGGGGGCTGGGAGGTCCAAGGCCAGGGCAGACAC